TTTTTCTTTTCTTTTCTATCAGACTTTTGATTTCAGGATAGGCTACGGTTACTATATAACCAACAAGGTTGTACGCTTATTGACCACGTATGTGGAGTAAAAGATTCATGGAATTAGAAACCATTACTTGCAACATTGTAGACTTCACAAATCATCATATGTTGTACGAGGCTACAATATAACAAGATAAAATTCATAGTTAGAATCTGGTCTACGAGAGAGATATATGAAAAAATAGAATGCGCAATAAAGTTCCGTTTGCCAAACGCCGAGTTGACTCACAGAATGCAATAAATATACCAATAAATTCGTTTCTTAAGAAAGCTAAAGAAAATACTTGTTTTGCTTCTGTCTTTAAAATACCACGTGATAAATTTTATTTTTAGGATTCCGCAGTATAGTGCGTTAAATCTTCCTTAATTTAGGATTTACGTTTATGTAGTCTTTTAGTTTTTTTTTTAAATCTTGCCATTTTAGAGAAAATAACGTTTTATGGCAAAAGAATATAAATGTATTTATGTAAGTAACTACCAATTTGTCCCTTCAAATGTTTACCAAACTTACTCAGTACAAATATGTATACAAAAATCAGACAGTGGTAAATAAAATAAATTACAATTTATTCTACACGTTTTGTCGTCTCTTGCTTATTTATCCAATATACCAAAAGAGTTTTTATGCAGTATTATTAAATACTCATTTTACATTAAAAAAGCTGAAAAAATGTATTTTATACGTGTAAGTATATCTATAAAATATGTAAGTATAGACATCTTAAAAATCAAGTTTTGTTTATAAAATTGAGGAAAAACACTCTACTGTAAAGTACAAATATTGGTAGATTTCGTAGAAAAAGTTTATATAAATATTCTCTTTTCGTATATCTCATTTTTCAGACAATAACAACTTGTTACTATGGCAATCTAATGCAACTTATTTCGTTACGGTCCACTTTTCTGACCTGGTACCCGTATGTTTCGGTGTGATTTTAAAGACGTTTCACGTCAATAATATACGTGCAAATTCTCAATTATGTAAACTCAAGTTTAAAGATAAATAATGAATATATCTTCTATATGAAATCATAAATGAGGATTTGCAGTACTTCGATTTATCTGTGTTATGAGCGTCTTACGAATATGACGCTTGATAGAAATTATTGAAGTATGTTATATGTTTAGTATATTCAAATTATTATAATAAATTATTTCGTACTGTTTGTCCGTTTTAGACATATTTTATTGACCCTTTTGTATTTCGAGAAAATCATAATTATTTATATATCATTACAAGTATTATTATATTATTATCTAAGTCACGAGATCCTTTCCTGTATGTTTTCTTTCACCGTTTAAGCCAGTGGTAATCATGTTGAAAATGTCAGAGTTGCGACCAGTATTTGAACCCACTTAACCTGAACACTAAAGTAATTCTGCTACCAATGGGCTGCTACGAGATACTCGTGTAAGTATATTATTCTATTAGCGACACAAGGGGAAGTTTTTGAATGACTTAATTAAAATACAGAACCACTGCGTAAATTTTAGATAGTATAATCAACTAACAAAATTACTAATGACAACATTAAGTCAATTTTTTTGTACTTAAAAGATAGGAATGTGGAACACATATGTAATAAATACTCTAGCAATATATCAACGACGCGGTCGCGGGTTCGAGTCCCGCTGGAGGCATTCATTTGTGTGATGAGCACGAATGTTTATACTCCAGTCATGGGTGTTTATATTTATAATTTGTATGTGTTTAAAGTTATATATGTGTAGTGTATCGACTATCTAATATCCATAACACAAGCCTCGTAGCTTACCATGAAACTAGATAGTGCTGTGTGTTAATGTCCCAACATTATTATGTATTTATTTAATTGTATTGATTACCGAATAATGTAAAATCCATAAAACTACATGGTTTGTAATCTTATAATATAAAAATGAATAGCTGAATGTGTTGGTAAGCGCAAATCTCGAGAGCAGCTGCACCGATTTCGCTAATTCTTTTTTTGGAATATTCCTTGAAGTACGAGGATGGTTCTTACGGAGAGAAAAATTTTAAAAATTGCCTGAAAAAGTCTAAAAACAACACCTTTTTATACTCCCATACAAAAGATTCGTAATAATACTTAAATGTCAATTTATACTTTAATGCCATACCATAAAGTTTAAGTGTTAGTGGAGAAGTTCTGGGAAGGCAAAACCAAAATCGAATAAACATTAATGTCAATATTTGTCAATATTATTAACAAAAAAAATTCAAATTTATATGGCTAACGCTGGCTAATATCTATTTAAAACGTACCTAGCGACAAAGCCGAGCGAAGCGAGGGTGAGCCGCTAGTGTTATATAAATATAAAAATAATATACGAGAAACTGATAATAAAAGAAAAAAAATCAGAAATAAAGTTCACACATTCAAATCCACGTGCAACAGCCAGTTGTTAATAATTCAAAAGGAAATATCGACGGATATAATTCCATGAAATGAAATTTAGTCACCCTCTGCATAGTAAGCATGTAATATTATTTTCTTCACCCATGCAGGGAATATTCGAGTAAGACATCACGCTTCGTCAATGCCACTTTTGAGCCGCAATATTTTAGAGACGCTTATACCTATATACTTGGTATTTTATGTTTTTAAATAACTATATACGTTTGCCTTTGATTATGCATAAGTATATGCATATTTGGTGTTTTGTTTTTAAATAGCGATGTACCCTCGTTTTATTTTTGAGTATGTAATACTAAATTTCTATCAAAGGGGGATAGATAGAACCTTTAGCAATGATAACCCTTAAATTTTTCCAAAACTTATTGTTAATGTCCAAATATGTGCTCATATTATAAGCGAGCTTTATCTCAAAATATCTCAAAAAATGACAATTAGTATGACGATGTATTCCACTGCGCCACAGGCGAAAAATCACTATAATAAAAATTCGAAAGTATTAGTGTGTGTAAGTCCGTTATTTTTTCACACTAAAATTGCTGGACGGATTTGGATGAAATTTGGACCACATACTATGACCTGCAGTAGCACATAGGCTACTGTGATTTATAAAATTTACCAAAAGGTGGCACTGACTGTTTGTTAAAAATGAATATGTACATAATTTTATATTATGTAACGAAAAGTCGAAGTCACTTGTCTAATGTATAAAAATCTCGTGTCACGGTGTTTGTGGTCACTCTTCTGAAACGGCTCGATCATTTTAATAAAAAAAATGTATATTTGGTAGGTATGACAATAGGTCGTAAAGTATTTCTCACCTTCCTACCCCCATCCATTTTTGAATCACGATTTTAGTATTTTTGTTTGAACAATATCCAAATAATTTAATATTATAAGCAAAAAGCGAAAGAGTTTTTTGTAGATGAACGCGGGCGCAGCCGTGGGTTCTGTTTGTATAGAGATACAAAAATGTTTCACATAGAACATTTTCTAAACGCAGTTACGTTTGAAGTCATTAAGCCTATTACCTTCAAGCTGAGGCTAATGAGAATATCTGGGGTGGAAACTGCATTAATGTGGCTTAACGTTTTTCTTCATGTCTTTAGAGTATAGTAACCTAGAAGTTTACTAGCTGTCCGCATATTAGAGACTAGTTTATAGGGAACTTAACATTCTTGCGTGATTTACATAACCTTTAAATATATTTAATAAGGTATTGGGGTTATTTTGTATTTTTGATCGACTCTAAAAGAGAATGCTCCATTTGGGTGTATGTTTTTTTTTGTATATGTTGAGAAATATCTAATTTTGAACCGAGTTTCATGAATGTGTAATATGTATCCGTGTCCGTGTGTGTATCTGTGAACTTCTTTACGTTAATACAGCCTAAAATGAACCTAATTCAATGGAATTTAATACAAAGATATACTGACGGAGTAATATAAGCTATTATCTATAGATACATACATGTAAATAAAATTGAAGTGTCCGCTTATAATATTAAAATAATAGCTTCTTACGGCATACATATTATGAAAGTATATACGGTACTTATAAGAGGTATATAATTTTAAAAAAAATGACTATGTGTCTGTTTGTTCCGGACAATCTCTGAATCCGGTTAAACCAATTTTGATGGTACTTTCACTGGTAGATACCTGATGGTATAAGGAGTAATTTAGACTACTTTTATTTAAAAAAATAATAAGGGATCAGCGGCAAATTGTAAACAAAATCTGCGTGCCCGAGCGAAGCAAGTGTAAGTCGCTCGTAATAAATTTTAGTTATAAATTTCGCCAAAAGGTGGCACTATCTGGATATAGTATTATAATTACAAAAGGCACCTAAGTTGCTAATTTACGTAAACACCCTTATCCATTCTAATCAACATTGTTTAAACAAAAACGATTACTAAAATAGACTTCTTCGCCAGCACATTACCTCTGACCTATATGTTACCGGGTCAGGCCACTTGCCCTTTACGAATAGGTGTGAGACATCATTAACATTGAATACTCATAAATTTTATTCTTGGTTTTATAAATTTGCTTATATCATAAATGGGATGTGTGTTGTCTTCTTTCATGTACTTTATACGTAGCTCTTGCCAATTCAAATAATTTTGCGAATGCCAAATTTTTTATGTATGTATTCAGCCTTTTTAACGTCCCGCTGCTGGGTACGGGCCTCCCTTCAATATGAGGGGGATCAGGCCATAGTCCACCATGCTGGCCAAGTGCGGGTTGGCGGACTTCACACATCTTTCAAAAACTTGTTAGGTTCTCTCAGACATGCAGGTTTCCCATAGATGTTTTCCTACACTGTAAGACAAGTGGTAATCATAATACTTTCTTAGTGGTGGTAATCACGTTGGAAATTATTCTTCTCATGAAAATATCAGACCTGGGATTTGAACCCGCTTCACTCGTATTCCCAAGCGTGTGCGTTACCACTGAGGTACCACTACCTAATATAACATAAATTGTGAATAGTGACTAGAAGTTTATTTAATATTATATAATAAACAAACCTTCTCCAGATCCAATAACCGTGTGAATGAGGAGAACGACGATCCCCAAACACCTCTGCCCCTCCGACATATCTGTCGTGGGTTCACTACCTGCAAAACAATAAAATATTTAAATTCATATTTTTTCATAGCGCTATTATTATAAATACCATTATAAATACCAATATTGAAATCACCATTAAGTTAACTTCAATATTTTTATTCTAAAACACTGAAAACTATACTTAATTATTAAATTATTTAATAACAATAAACTCTAACAAACATGAATAATGAAATATGATATATGCAAAACAATACCTCACTTATGTGACAAACTGCATTAAGATTCGAATTCGTCTCGCTTAGGAAATTTACTCGTAATAACAAAATTCAAAGGAAAACTTAAACTTAAATATTAAATAAAATAAATTTTATCAGATTCAGCTCGAGAGTCGAATTTGAATGAAAAGTACATAATTAGTGTAAGATAAAGGTAAGTAATTATAATTGCCAAAAATGTGGCACTTGTTTATAATGTTACTAGCAAAACAAAAACTACAGAAAAAAAACTCTAAAAAGGTAGGTTTTATGTAAACTTACATCCCCTATTTTACCCTCTTATGAGATGAATTTCGAAAAATGCTGAAACACATATTTATTTAATTTTACTGAAAAGTATTAATACTAAGTTTCGAGTAACTCTTATCATAAATATTTTTTTAGATTGTACTATAACGTGTTTTCCCGTGGGAAATGAGATAATCTCCCGCGATAAAAAGTACCCTATGTCATTCTCCAGCCCTCCAACTATCTCCACAAAAAAATCATGCCAATCCGTCACTCTGTTTTGTCATGAAAGAAGGACAAACAAACAAACACTATTTCACATTTATAATATTAGTATAGATTAATTTAAAAGGCACAAAATAGTGCGAAAAGAGTGTAAGTAGCTAGTCTAACAAAAAACTTAATTTAGAACGAAATATATATTAAACACTTTATTGACTTTATCTACTGTATACCCTAAAAATGGCCTAGCATTCAAAAGTAGCATCGAAAATATCTCTTACTAGCTAGGTTGCTTCCTAATATAAGCGTTCACTCCCATTTTCATCCTTTTAAAGGTTGATTTGCGAGATAAAAACTATCCTATATCCCAGGGTCTCAAACTGCTTTTTTACCAAATTTCATCTAAATCAGTTCTGTAGTTTCGGAGCGTATTTGATACAAACAAACAAACAACCAAAAAAATAAATTTTCCTCTTTATAATATTATAATAGATAAACACAAGTTTTTTTTTAAGTATTTTATGTCAAATGACATGATAAAATTTAGTAAAGCCCTGTATTGATTTAGCTAATATATATTTATTGCAAAACACTATACAAATAGAACTCTATAAAATTCCCAGTCTGACTCTCATAAAGAAATATTCATATCAGCAACATTAAATATATGATATTTTAAACCTGCGCTATTTGTTATGTTAAAAGTAAAATATTATAGTATGCATAACATTCATTTTATTGACAGAAAAAATAAATTTATATTTTATGCAATACTAGCGATGCGCGGATTGGTACGCGGGTTTTGCTCAGAATTTGAAGTGTTAAAATTGTTTGTGCTTTAAATTATATTAAATTAGGGTTCCCCTCATTCTTATTCCAACATAAAAGTGACTTAAATTAATCCTTCTAAAATCAGCTATCTGCCAGCGAATGTCCCGTCAAAATCAATCCACACGTTTTGGAGATTAGGCGGAATAAACAGACAGACAAGCAAGAAATTTAAAAATTGCTTTTTTCTTTCTTATAAGTACCATTTATACTTTCATATTACGCATTTAGTAAAAAAGTGTTATTTTGACATTACAAACACTGCAATTTTATTTATTTCTGGAGGTATGTATATATAAATACATTATGAAAAATGAAGTGAATTATGTAGTAATAATAAAAACAAAGCTTTTAACAAAAACTAAAAAAAATGGCTTAGAAACATCTATCTCATATTATTATAATGTGCAAAATATGTAAAGAGCACTCACTCTAAAACTTTATATACTTGTATTACAAGGACGTCGTCTATCTATAATAGCACGTTTAACTTTTTAACTTTTCTTCAATTACTAAGTAACATGATAGATGGTCTAAAGAAGTCTACTTACGTAATATATTTTCTTAGAAAGCTCGTTGATGGAAAATACGTAGCTTATTGTATGAAGATTAAGAATTCATGTCTTTTACCTACTTCAAATAAGGAGATATTCAATTGAAACGATTGTGTATTTTCCTTCTGCTCTTTTTAAAGCCCTTTTTAACGTCCCACAGCTGGACACATGTCTTCTTTTAATACGAGGGGCCATAGTCCACCACGCTGGCTCATTGGCGGACTATACATGTTTTGCTAGGTTCTTTCAGATATGCAGGTTTCCTCACGATGTTTCCCTTCACCGTAAGACAAGTGGTAATCATGTTGGAAATGATTCGCATATGAAAATATCAGAGGTGCAAGGCCCAGGATTTGAACCCGTTTACCATTTGCCTTAGTTTTTGCGTGAGAAAACAAGACGTAAGACGAAAAAAGTGAGCAAAATATTTTACTACATTTACCGATTAATGTCACTCTTGTCTTCTCCATTCTACCTGACATTAGTGAAGTAATCTGTGCACAACTGGCATGTTTTGAAGCAATCAAAAAGAGAATTGAATTGAATAATAATTAATATACTATTTATAAGCAAACCTCATCTTTTTAATTTCATTGATGTGGCGTTATTTTCCATTGCGAGCTTAAGCGTCGTTATTAAAATTTTCCACTTGTATTTTTTTGCCATGAAAATAGGTACATACTGTAGCATTCTGTATAATGAAATTTAATATTTTATTTCAGAACCAACTATTTATATGCATCAAGTACTTTTAATAACATGGCTTTTGATTGTATATTTGTAAGAGAAATCAAAAATGTACATTCAACTAGTTTTTACCTGCGGCTCTGTACGTTTTATTACTATAACTAGCCCCCTCGCTTCGCTCGGGTTCGTCCTTAGATGCGTTTTAACGGTTAGTATGGAATAGATAGACTATTATTATATTTATTATATGATATACAAGTAAATAGCCTTATAGCCTTCTCAATAAACAAGATATCTAATGCAAAAAGGATTTTTCTAATCGGATTAGAAGTTTCTGAGATTAGCGCGTTCAAATAAATAAACAAACTCTGCCTCTTTATAATATTATTAAAGATAATTTAATCCTTTTTAACTTTCCTCTGCTAGGCATGGATCTTCCTTTAATGCGAGGAGAGTCAAGGCATAGTCCACCACGATTACCAAGTACAGGTTGGCGGACTTCACATGTTTTCTAAAAACTATTAGGTTCTCTCAGATATGCAGGTTTTATCACAATATTTTAGTTTACCGTAAAGTATATTTGTCTTATTATCTTATAAATGATTTGCACATTAAAATATCAGAGGTGCGACACCTGAGACTTGAACTCGCTTCACTCGGTTTTTCAAGCATGGGCTTTACCACTAAGTTACATTGCCTTATTTTTTTACTATATTACTAGAACTGTTTAAAAAGACTCGAATGTAAAAAATAATGTCGATATATACTTATTGCTTTATCTTTATAGAAAACAAATTTAAAAATAATTTTTATTATGATTATAGGTATCATTGGTATGATACAAATGATTGAGCAGATTCCTTTATTATTCAAAAACAAATTTTTTCAACAAATATCTACATAACTTTCGATCGATAAGTGGTAAGTAAGGCTTTGATTAGGCGACATTCTAAAATCGCGATCGCTTGTAGAAATAAAGTAACTGAAGAATATATAGAAATGACTATTATTGTAGCGTTATTTATATACCTTTAGCGATATTGAATATAGAGTTCGTTTTGTTTAAGGGGGTGTAATAGATTATAACACCATAAAGGTTCCGTACCATCGTACAAGATGTACCACCTTATCTATTTATTTTATTTCGCATGGCGGCCATTTTAAAATTGCCGTCTTAGTTTTTTATTATTTGTTATTATAGTTGGAATAGAAATACACATTCGGTGAAAACTTGAACTCTCTACTTATTACTGTTCATGAGATAGCTCGCTGACAGACAGACAGACAGACGGGCAGCGGGGGCTTAGTAATATCACAGTACATATAATACTATGCCTCGGTGGTGCAGTGGCTAGCATGTACGGCTGTACACCCGGAGGTCCTGGGTTCGAGTCCCGGGTCGGGCCAAGTTTAGTTATTGAGTCTTCCTGTATAGTAAGTCTCAGTAACAGTCCGGAGTTGGGAAGTTGGCGGTGTTTCACCCCCGTGCCTCGGAGAGCACGTAAAGCTGTCGGTCCTGCGCCTTAGCTCTCACCGGTCGTGTCGAGTGGTCGTCCCACCGGAGTATGAGAGTGATAGGATAGAGAGTGCACTTGTGTCTGCGCGTACACTTGAGCACTATAATATCTCCTGCGCAGTTGGCTAATCTCATTGAGATTGGCCGCCGTGGCCGGAATCGGCTAGGAGAACATCATAATAGAGTCCTGTCGGGTACGGAACCTTTATCACGAAAAATTTAAGAAGTTGAAAATTTCGTAGTATTTCACACTTCGCTTCCTTAACTTATACCATTAAAATCAGTAGTTTTAATATAAAACATAATCTAATTAATATGGCTTCTAGAATAATAGGATTTCTAAACCGTGCTAGATTACAGGCCATGTTCTATATATAGGACAATGCCGTCGATTGCACGAGAATATGAAGCACTTAACTTATCTATGTACTAGCGGCTCACTCTAGTTTCGCTCGGGTTAGTCCCTAGGTATGTTTTAACGGTTAGTACAAAATAAACTACATCTATACAATTATAGGTAATAAAATTCTAACTAAGCCGAATGTGTACATTAAATATTTTTAGAGGCCGAATCTATAGTTTTTAATTTTTGTCTGTCTGTTACCGCATCAGAGAAAAACCACTGGAGGGATTTTGATGAAATTTGGTATGGTAATGGTTATCCGGGTCTACATATAGGATACTTTTTACCGCGGGTAAATGTCTCATTTCTGA